TACTTCAATTCATTCTGAAGTTAAAGCAGATCACTTGAAAGAAAAGCAGTGAGAAAGAAGCAACAGCCTATATCCCATAGGTAAAGAGCAGCACAGGAACCAACACTGAGGCAGACTAATACACTGTCCTTTTGTTTGATCATTTTTCTCCCTCCCCCCCCGCCCCCAAACAAAGAAAGGCGAGAAAATTTCAGCACAACAGGCTGAGCTTTATGGCATCCAGTTACTATTGCTTTTGTTTCAGGTTAGACAGAGTCATAACTGCATCAGTATTGTCACCATATAACAGCTATGGATAAATACTCGCTGTGTGCGTTTCTGCTTTCAAAAAAAGTGATGTGACTATCAGCCCGAATGAATGTTTTTTTTTTTTTTTTAAATACATATATGTATGTATATCTATTAAAACAAAAAAAAAAAGGCTTTCAGAAAAGTGCAATACACATATACTCTCTCCTCTTTAAACTCTGGCCCAACCATTTCCAATTCAAGTCACCACCAAACCATGAGGTGTCTTGTATAGATAATGTCAGACCATGGAGAGAAACAGGAAAGGCAGGTGTTCCAGACAGCTATCTGGAATAATCCTCACATATCTGACTGGCAACTGTGAGCTGCTAGAATTTCATCAGCTTGCATGCTCATTTAAAGATTATGCAAGTTTTACACCTTGCACATGTATAATCACTATCAACTATGCACACTATTTATGCATATTGCAGTCATGACCTCCTGCCTACATTTTAAGACATATATTAAAAAGAAAAGAGAGAGAGACAGAGAAACAAAAGAGAAAAACTACTTCCCAAATTATGGGTGTTTTTATTTTTCTTTTGCATCTTCATTAGATACAAAAGATTCATATTCTTACCTGAAAAATTTGGTTAGAAATTCAGTGCATTTGTCTGTCTATATGCTTGGGGCCCCAGTTACTTGCATTATTTCACAAATAACTCAAATAATTTTGCTACAATTATTAAAATACATAAGCACATCTTACTTGGAAACGTTAATAGTTTATTTAAACAAAATTCCCATAAATCTGCCCACAAAGAAAAAAAACCAAGAGGCATTGCCATAGTAGGTGAGATATAAAAACCTGATTCAGTTCATTTAAGAGTTAGTTTTGCACATTTGTTAAGGTACAAGCGTTATGATTATTCATTTGGCTGCATCTATCTTCTCTTTCTCCTCTCTCCATGTATAGACCCTGGAGCATTCACTTCAATTATTCTCGGCAGAAGCTAGGCACCACAGTTTACCCATAGACAAAGTATTCTATTTATCAGCCATTCTCATCTAAGGGACCCTAACTATGCTCAAAATACTTAGGATTCTTCTTCCTGGATGCCTCTGACCAATAGTGAGTCACAGTAGACAGATGGCCTGTTTAGGATTATTGTTGTTTTTGCAATAGAAGTATTGTTCTTGGATAAACTACTGACAAACAGGCGTCAAATATGTGTATCTGCCTCTACCAACAGTTATGATAAGCCTGCCTCAGTTACTGTTGGGGTAACACAGACGGCTGAGTCCACATGTCCATTCAGTTCCTCTGAATACATGGTTTATGAGAAGGTGTTTCTTTTTAAATCTAGAATAATTCTCCTGTTCACCTATGATGAGGAACCTCTCTGGCACTGTTCTATTTTTTTAAATTAGCAGGAGAGAACACAAAGAGTCATTAAAACCAGCATTTCTGATAGCACCCCCTAATTATTTTCACATAGGCAGAGAGAGAACTACCTCAAGCCATTCTTTTGACTCCTGGAATTATGTTAAACCATAAAATGCTTATAAATAAACAAACCACTCCCTTGAAATGAAGTGACCTAAGAAGTAAGGATAGGCAACTAAGAAGTTTATATTCCAAAGAGGTGTTGTTCAGATATTTCCCCCCATTTCACAGCAAAACAAGAGACTGCTTTGTGCCCACTGCTGTGAATTACTGAGCACTTACACAGAGAAATATAGATTGTTCTCATCAGGAAGAGTTATTATCTTTCCTTCATACAATCCATAACTTTAAAACATCTTTGGTGTGATAGAGTTATTAAGGTCCATTCCACAAAGGAAAGACCATAATAACTCACTGCCACTACCATCACAGCTCGTGAGTTATGGATAATACGAAAGATAATTGCCCTTCCTGAGTAAATTATATGGGCAATTTCTTATGGGAATTGGAAGGTATTTTTTGCATAAATCACTGTGCCTTATTAACCAACAATTTAAACCCACTTTAAATTTTGAGATCACATCCTAGAGGCACATGTTTTTAGGCCTGCAGAGTTATTTTCAGCAAAAAACAACATCAAGCCATTGCTAGAGCTGGACCTTTACTGTGCAGCAATACATGCATTTAAAACCCCTGGATAAGCATTCTCCTTTTTATATTGATACTCTGGAAATTCACATAATAATGCTTCAGAGAACTTTAATAAAACTAGACTAAATCACCTAATTATGCATATTTCATAGAGTGTCTCATAACATCCTCAGGAAGACTGATGAGGTACAGACTACACAAACAGACAGCAATGTGGCCTAGCTGAACCGCCAGGTTCCAAGGGCTATGGTCAGTGGCACAAAGTCCAGCTGGAGACCAGTCAACAGTGGTGACCCCAGGGATCAATACTGGGGCCAGTACTGTCTAAAGCCTTCATTAATGACCCCGGATGACAGAACTGAGTGCACCCTCAGCAAGTTTGCAAATGATACACAACCGGCAGGAGTGCACAGCAGAGTGGATGGTTGTATTCCCACTCAGAGGGACTTCGACAGGCTGGAGAAGTGGTCCAACAGGAACATCATGAAATTTAACAAAGGGAGATGCGAAGTCCTGCACCTGGGGAGGCACAACTCCATGCACCAGCACAGGCTGAGGGCTGACCCGCTGGAAAGCAGCTTTGGAGAAAAGGCTCTAGGGGTCCTGGTGGACAAGCGGAACATGAGCCAGTAACGCGTCCTCGGGGCAAAGAGGCTGAACAGCCTCCTGGGCTGCGTGAGCGTTGCCAACAGAATGAGGGAGGCTATCCTTCCCCTCCACTCAACACTGGCGAAACGCATCTTGAGTGTGGGGTCCAGTGCTGGGCTCCTCAGTTCAAGAGGGACATATGTACTGGACTAAGTCCTGCAAAGGGCCACAAAGATGGTGAAGGGACTGGAGCATCTCTCTTACGAGGCAAGGCTGAGAGAGCTGGGACCGTTCAGCACGGAGAAGAGAAGGCTCAGGGGGGTCTTATCAATGCATATAAATATCTGATGGGGGTGAAGGAATAAAGAAGAGCCAGATTCTTCCCAGCAGTGCCTAGTAAACAGACAAGAAGCAATGGGCACAAATCAGAATGCAGGAAGTCTTATCTAAGCCTAAGAAAAAGCTTGTTTACTGTGATGGTGGTCAATCACTAGGACAGGTTGCCCAGAGGGTGCAGTGAGTCTCCATCCTTGGAGACATTCAAAACTCGACTGGAGGCAGCCCTGAGCAACCTGCTCAGGGTGACCCTGCTTTAAGCGGGGGGTTGGACTAGACAACCTTCAACATCAACCATTCTGTGACTCTGTATCACTCTTGCAGGGAAAAAGCCATCCCTCTATGAGGCAAAAATATCAGAAAGACTTGAATTTGCAAGCCTATTTTTGCTGCAAAAAACACACATGACTCCAACACTCTCATCAACTGTTGCAAGTAATAAAAGCTAGGGTACGTTTTAGATAGATTCTCTAAAATGTGGCATCTCAGAAAGGTCTTCTGGAATGACTAGCCTAAATTAACATACTTAAAAAAACACTAATTTTCAATCAAAATACATTAACACTGTTCCATCATAAACATCAGTAAGCAGGCAAAAAACAAAAGCTATTTTGTTTAAAATCCAGATGGGAAAGATGCAATAAATCCGCAAACATTAGAAGACCAGAAACCCTAATCTCTTCCATAATGCGATTAGGATTCTTAGTACCATGCAATCCAGCTCCTTAACTTGAGTTCAGGGTAAAACATATATGTGAAAGGATTTAACCAACTGAATTTGACAAATCTGAATTTAAATATTCCACGGGAAACCAAGGAGTATTACAGAGAAGCCTGGAACAGAATACTGCTGATTTAAAACAGACTCTAATTTTTGGCTATTTTTTTTCTTTTGAAGGGATTGTTGTAAGCACACAAGTCTGATTTAAAAAATGACAAAGTTCCTTGTCTCCACTCTTTGAAATATCCAGCTTTAGGAATATTCCCCGTCTGTGACTCAGAAACTATCTCAAGGAGAAAAGGGCCTCTACTAAGCAAGCAGTTTATGGAGCAAAATAATCACTGGCACTTCAGAAATCAACAACAGTCCCAGAGCAATAAGCACTGCTGATATAGATAAAACACTGGGCTATAACCAAGTTCAATATCTGAAAAGATATAAACGTGTAGCTTATGCACAGTTGATTCAAGCAGGGTGTGGGGGGGGAGGTGGAGAAATCATAGATCACAGAATGGTATCTGCTTCTAAAAGAAAATACTGTGGCTTCCTGGAGAGACGCAGTCAAAGAAGGTAATATAACTGTATATCAATGATGCTAGATTCTGAATGCATACCAATGCACCTCAAAGCAGAGCATCCAACTAATCACTGACATGATCTGCAGGTGCAAAATGTGGGAATCTTAAATACCTGGTAACAAAGGTCTATGAAGGAAAACGTTTCTTGCAATGCAGGGTAGATACATGACGCATCCCACTCTGTCCTTATTGCCTCGCATTTCTCCTTTATCCAGCCTTATGTTAGCCTAATCTTCACTCTCCAGTCTTCCATTTCACTTGCTTGGTCAATAGGCCATATAAACCCTTCTCCTATGCCAATTTATCCTCCTATTCTAATTCCTCACCTGATCTTTCTCCCGTCAGCCCATCCCCAGACTTCCCAATTTCTCCCACTGGCTCACATCCCAACAGTATCTACAGATGTCTTATTTTTCTGCACAGTGGCTTATCACTTCAGTGGGCTTACCTTCATCTCAGCTCCGGCCTTTTTTCCTCAGCTCCTCCTCTAGTCAAAGTCTTCATTCCTACTTTCTTCACAGCAAAGCAACACCTCAATCCTAACATGGAAGGGTTCACCACTAATACCTAAAATTTAACAAAATTAAAAGCAACTGACCTCAGAATCTTACTGTGAGAAGTATCAGACAACCTTCATAAGTACTCTAAACTTCAGGATGACTGTTAGTCTTGTAATATACCTTAGAGCTACTTTTATTTAATATCTATGCACTTATACATGAGTGTATTTTAGTTTTACTGAAGGTATTTTCAATAAATTTGAATCAAAGTGAAGAAAAAAACAGATTCTAAAGTAAATAATCATTAGCGAATGAAGTAAACGAAAAACAGGGCAGCAGAAGAGATGAAATAAGAATTTACTCAGGTTGTCTTGGCAGATTATGATATATTTCTTTGATGGAAGAGAAGAGTCTTTGCTCCCCCACCCCAGAGAAAATAAAATGCAGGTGAGCCTGTCTGGGGGAATGCAGTTTAACCTATTACATCAAGGAACATCATCAGTTAAGCCACAAGAAACTGGTTTAGAAGATGTATAAAAAAAATCTGTATGAAACTGGTTAAAGCAAAGACAACTTCAGGTAGCACTCAATCAAAAGTGAGGTTACTGAAGTAGTTTCATTAACTGAGACTGACTCAAAAATAGATCCTTAATATTTTTATACAGGAAACCGGCACAGAGTAATGAGGTACACATGTAAGATCTGCTGAAGGATAGTTGAATAGATATCACCTATTCACAGGAAGATCAGAATATCAGTAAAGAAAATGCGTGCATAATTTTGAGGATCAAAACAACCAAAATAAATTCAAAAATAGGTACTTTGATGTCAAACACCTAGGGATTGTCTGTTCTTAGCAACCAGTTTATCAGCTGAACAGACGTATCAGGCAATCCTATGATCATAGTTATCATGATACAGGCATAATAAGAAAAAAGAAAAAAAAAAAGAAAAAATTCACAGTGGTAAGGCACATCTAGTAGTTTCCAACATTTCTTCATGAGAGATCTGGTAATGCTGTTGTCATTATCTTCATCTACAACATCAAGTATAGCCCCAGTTACTGTGCTCAAGAAAGAAAGGAAAAAAGCCTACTAAGCTTATAACAAGCTCTCAATTTTCCCAATATATAATGAAGCTAAGACAGCCTGGCTTGTTTAGCGTAACATCATAAAGTCTAAGAGTAAATGTGATTCGTATGTACAGGATGATTTATGAAGGGCAACCTCAGGAAAAGAAATAAGAATTAAGCTACAGAATGATGTTAAACAAGAGCAAATAAGTATATGAAGGCCATAAATAATTTTAGGATGGAAATTAGAAGGATATTTTTGAAACAAGCTGAGAAGGGTGGGCTGTGGATCATGATTTTTAAGATAAAATATGACTGTCATTATAAGGACTGAGAGAGACAATTTACAGGCCCATAACAGAAATGGAATGCACAACAAACAAAAAACCTTAGTCCTACACTGGGGGAGGTGAAAGGATAAAAATAAAATAAAAAAAGAAATCATATTCTATAGTTTTACAGTAGTCCTCCAGGGTTAATTTAGTACTGTATGTAAAGAGGAAAAGTTTTATCAATCTGAAAAGCAACACATGCATTTCTGCTTTTAATAAACCTTCTTGTTCGAAAGCACAAGAGATCTGAGGAGTACACTAACACGTAAGATCCTGAAGACGAATAAGCCACTTTCTACATCCAGCAGGAGTGTCAGAAGCAAACAATTTAAGTTCTTTGCCTTAAAGAACTCTACACACTAGGGACCAAGACAAACAGATGATAACCCCTCCTCCCCTTTTAGGATCCCTGACACTTTTCTTCAACCCACCTCTTCAGCTGTGGAATTCTGCTCTGCTCCCCTACCCTTTGTAGACATTTATGAAGTACATACTTCACTGGTATATCAGGAGCATGAACACGCACAACCACAAGCAGAAGCAGCAGAGCAGGAGTAAAGAGAATGGCAGATGTCCTGCAAATGAAAAGACCAAGAACAACCATGAAATCCAAGAAAGAAGTTCAACAACATAAAGAAACTGGCTGGCACTGGGTGGAGCGCTGACTGCACTGAGAGCACACCACAGAGATGGAGCAACAAATACGTGATAGGACTCGACCACACCCTGGGCCTTCATCGTCAAAAGAGTGCATAAACGCAACAAAGATCACACAGCATCATCACCAATGAGGAAGAACCCCAGAGACGTGACGAGGACCTGACAGCCAGTATCCCTCGCTCCCCTCATCACTGCAGGCCAGACTGCTGGGACACCGCTCTGTCCTAGTACTAGCGAACACAGGAGTGTGAAAGCATGGAAGTATACGAGATAGCACACGTGAGTGACTGAAGTCAGTTCTGTTCAAATAAGAATCATCTTCCCTTCTATAAAGCATCGCACCAAGTTTCACTACAAGAGTGGCTGGACTTCCAGCTGTTTCACTTTTATTTGGTTACACATATTGTTTAGCTGTTGCAGAATCATGGTATCTTAAAATAGACATTTTCATAATGACATCTATTGCATAAAACACAAGCAGCTTATCATCACACAGAATCCACCTAACTTATCATTCATGTCTTTTGGTCTCTGCAAAAGAAACTTTTCCTTGCCCAAAGCTGCGGATTCCTTTTAGTAAATATTTGATTAATAGTAATAAAATACATTGATGGATGCAGGCAGCCTGAGAAAACCTCTCCCTGTAAAAACTATAGCAAGTACAAGGATGCACAGTACAAATGAGTGCTGCAGAGAGAGCTCTGCCATCTAACGACCGCTAAGCTTCTTCCTTAGACAGAGGCTAGGCAGTTTGTCGCTAAATCAGAAAAGCTTTCTTCCCTTTGGCATCTTTTCACATATAAACTACACATAACCTTCCAGAGGCTACTTTTAGAATTCATTCACGTTCTCATGTACAGAGAACCATGTGTTTCTCAACATAAAACCACAATACATTCCATTCAGGATATATACCTGGAGAACATTAAGTTTCAAAAGCTAGCGCTGACCATGAATTATACTCCCTGTTTATACAAATACTTTGTCAGTACTTGTTCTTCGCTCATGTGACTACAACCTATTTCTCATAACCCTGCCTGATTTTAACGTTTACTTTCAAAAATTTATCATGATCTTATATACAAAGCGGGTCTCCCCTTTTTTATTCCCATATACTTCTAATATGCACAAGCAGACTGAAGTATTTGTTTTAATCACAAATTATAGAAAAAAATCTGAAAAATATTTTGAATCAGTAATTCGTAAATAGAATCTTTTCATCTTTCCACATAAATATGTTGAATTATAATTCTAAAAATATTTTGTTTTTGTTTCCTTCAACACCCTGAGCAATATTCAAGCTAACACCTTCTCCTCCTTTCTTCAGTTGTTGGCAGAAAACTGAAACAGGCGAGTACAGGTAAGATTGACAAGACATTAGAAACAGAGTCTTCCATATAGCATGGACATAGGAAAGGGGTTATTTATTATAAAGTATAAGATGTAAAAACCTTACTTTCTTTTGGTAGCCAAAAGCATTTAAGTTTTAATGCATTGTCATTGAGGAAAAAAAAAGTAAAGAGCAACACACAACAGAGAAGAATGAAAACTACAGCTTGCCAGAGCTTTAGTCTACAAAAAAATTCAAAGTCTCAATAGTTCTGTCTCTTTTCAAATTGCAATTTTCTGTAGTCAGCCTTATACTTAGTTCTGTCCAGGGGGAAACCTTGTATTTGACTGGCCTAAGCTCTGCAGCATGAAAAAGCAGAGCTTCATCTAGGCTCGGTATTTTAGAGTACATCCGACATTTCTTTTGTAGCTTTTAAAAAAGACAACATTTGTAGCTATTCTCAGAATGAAACTGCAAATTCAGTTTTGTGTTGGACTTGAGAACACTCCTGGAATGCTTGGAAGTGCTCTATATTCAACTGCACTATGATGCCTTAACTAGCTATTTTTTATTTTTTTAATTATTAGGGGGAATTCTCGCAAGCTACTCTAGCAACCATTCGCTGGCAGAAGCTGGCCCGAGACAGTCTTCTAAAGGCACATATGGTATAACCTACTCCGTAACAAATGTAATCTAATTGTTATCATTGTTCTCAGTTACAAATCAGAAGCACTCCTCCAGCACGTTTGGCTTGATTTGAGATCGCTCTGTCAAATCTTTGTTTGTATCACTAGTTGTAACTGTGGATAGTACTATTATCCATGTAAGTATCCCAAAACCTTTACTAAATTCTTTAACTCATATCATCGATAGTCAGATTCAATTAAGTGTGGAATGGAAGAGCAGCAAATTACTAGATGGCATTTAAAAATATATTTCATTGGAAATATCACCGTGTTTTCTCAAAACACAAGAAAAGTGATATTTCTGTCAATTCGTAAAACCAGAACCACAGAACAAATTCTAACTCTTGGGTCCCTTTGAGCCAAGGCTACACGTAAAGTGGAAGGAATACACTAAAAATAAGTTTTGTCTTTAATACAATTGCATCTTTCACCAAAGTTCCTTAGGATTTTGATGCAAGGAATCAAGAAGAGAACTCCTCTCAAACTGAGCATTTTGTAAAGTCAACCACACGCAGGGAAATAATTTCCAAAAGAGTAGATACAATCACCTAGTATTCTCTTTGACACCCAGCAGGTTGGAGGTTATCTTACTCTGCAGGAAAATAAAGAAAGTAACGAGAAGGCAGGTTTGTATTTCTGATTGATCTCCAAGATGATCTCGCACAGGCCTGCACAGACCTCAGCCTCCATGACCTACCGCAGCAGAAAGGCCTCTGTGTCCCATACCTGCTTTTGGCTGCTGGTTAGCCCTTACCTCTAGGATTGCTCTGCTTCAGCTGTACCAGTGAAGCACCTGTGATGGGGACGCCATGTCAAAAAAAAAAAAATGGCATGACAATTACAGCAAACCTGCTTTCTATTTTTTATGCAAGCAGTAGTTGGCAAACATGCACCAATCTTTTTTGGAAGTTTAGTTTTAAAACTAATCCCCTGATTTCAGATCCAGGGTACAAAACAGAAATAGAAACAAAAGTCCAAAATATGCCTTCTTAAAAGAGTTAAGTTTGGTTTACATTTTGGGAGTGAACTGAAATCTTCTGGATTTACCATCAATACTTTTAACACCATAATACCTGTAAAGACATAGAAGTACTTCAAATCACACACAAAATAAAAGGCTCTATTTGAACCAAGTGATATATCATCAGGTAACACTTAGTATTGCGGGAAGATGATTTCCGACTCAAGATTCTAACAAGTTTGTCTTTTTAGAAGATGACTCCCATTTCCATACTAAAACCAGCTGGTTGAAATTCTTAGCTCACAGGAGGGATTCTTCACATGTGGAGCTGGGATCCAGAGAGCAGCAACCAGCCCACGAGCGACGCTCTGACAACAGCCTTGGGTAAAACGTACCAGCTCCGCGGGGCTGTGCTGGCGGTCCGCAAGGTAGCCAGAGCAACGACAGCAGCTTGCTGCTGAGTACGGTTTGGGAACCACCGGTTTATACTGTGCTTTCCACCGCACAGCTGCTTGCCGGCCAAGGAGCGGTTGGCAGGCATCTTCAACAGCACACGCAAACCTGAACTCTGAGACGCTGTCACGTAAACACGACCTGAAACTAACCTATAACGGCCAACGTAAGCGTTTATAGAAAAAAAAAAAATTAGCAGAACGAGCAGCTTAAAAATAAGTAAGTGAACGCACAAACAAGAAAAATCGCCACCCGCAAGGACTAACGGGAGCCGCGAGGCTGCGGCTCAGGACAGCCTGAAGCCAAGAGCAACAAGGGCGCCCAGACCCGCAGGGCTCCC